TCAGTGTGGCAGTGTCTCAGTGAGGCAGGGTCAGTGTGGCAGTGTCTCGGTGAGGCAGGGTCAGTGTGGCAGTGTCTCAGGGAGGCAGTGTCCCAGGGAGGCAGGCAGTCAATTGCAGTGCCAGTCAGTCACTGTCTCTGTCTCTTCACGGACGCGACATACTGCCCCCGGTGTCGAACACACACCGACACTCAGCACAGCCCCTGATACAGGTGAGGCCAGCAGCCGGCGGGGAGGGGCTGCTCGGTGGAGTATTACCGGATCCCCGACACTGCGTAGCTGTTGCTATTTTAGCCACTGGGGCTGCCGGACTGCCCCCTCAACACCGCAGCTCCATAAGGTCCAACTGCGGACGCGCACCTCTGTTGTCGTTATTCCCGACACTAGCATTGCTCCTGGACATTATTATCAGTCCTGCGGCCGGGACCCTGCACCCAGAACCGAGCCGAGCGCCGCAGGACAACACTTCCTATAACGGGACAGGTCTCAGTCGCCCCGAACCCAGTCTCCCCCTCGGCTCCGGCCTTACCATCTCGGCGGCTCTCGGATTATCCGGGGGGGTCACGACGCCTGGAGAATCTGTAGGAAGGAGATGTTATTTCCCCGCGACTTGCGATGTACTATTTTATTTCTATTTTTGTTTTTGTCCAAGTCGGAGCCCCACGGCCCAGCCCAGTCAGCCAGAGCACTTCCTGTACCGGAGACACTGCAGGGAGGAGGGGGGAGGGGGGCAGGCATGCATATCCGGGTCACGCCGCCCTGGCTCGGGGGCAGCCAATCAGCGAGCAGCACCCGAGCCATTGCCAAGTATGGACAGAGAGGGGGTGTGGAGAGCGAGGCGGCCGGCCTGTGTTCATGGCCTAGAGAGAGAAAATTAAGCATTTACTTGAACATTTTTTAACACATATTTATATTTATGCTATCGTGAATCATAGTATGAACAAGAGGAACTGGGTACATGATGCAAACTATACAAGTCAAATTATGTTTGGAGAAAAAGTGAAATATTTCCTTATGTGGCATTATGCTGACAGTTCAAGTAGGAAGCTGTGTCAGCAGGCGTAGGCTGCAAAGGAACAAGTTCAGGTTTATTCCTGAAGAGAAGCGAAGACCCAAGACAGCTGAAACCACAGCCGAAACGTTGTTTCCAGTTCTGCTGACATGACACTGTCTCTCTCTTGGAAGCTGGAGCGCAGCAGGGACAGCACAGAGAGGTTTTAACTACCCGATGAGCGCCGAGTCACCTGGGAAGGTCCTCTTGTGACACTTGGAAACGAAGGCAGGTCCCATCACCCCCAGTCTCGTGCGCAGGTCTGTGACAGCGGGTCACTTAGGAAGACAAGTCCAGTGCCCAGGGCAAGAGCTCCTTGAGACGGCGTCCCGCTGTCTGGCAGAGAGAGAGACACTCAGTGGGCCGCCGGCCTGTTGCTGGGACACCGGCAGGCTCTTTTATGTTCAGTGTTTAGTGTTTTTTCTGGGAAAAGAGAATATTACGTGGCACCATATATAATAATGAACGAATTTGAACAATTGTCGTGGCATGAAAGACCTAAACAAATCCAACAACAATATAAAAACAGGAATAAATGACTAGGAAAAGGGAAACCAGAGATTTGGAAGAGATAAGCAAAGGCAAAAGAGGAAAGAAAATAAAAGGTAGTGATAGGACAGAGGAGGAAAGCCAGAGTCTTCAAGGTCTGTCCCAGGTTCTGCACTGTGACACTTCAGAGAGTTAAGAGCTGCAACGTGTTCTAAAGACAGAAAATACAGACAAAGTTTTATCAGAAGGAGCTTTCTTCAGGTTCAAAAGAAAATAAAAAAAATTAAACTGAAAACTTGAATTCAGGTCTGCCGGCTTCGTGGCAAGACGAGCAGAGCCCGTCTGTACCGAGCCCTGAGCCCACAGGAGGGGCAGGCAGAGCTGGCGTGAAGGAAGCAGAGGATCCGGGGCTCCAGCACAGGAAGAGTGACCACAGGGCGGCGATCCGTCACCCGCTCACTCACACTCGCACACAATCACTTACACGCACTCAGACACTCACTCTCCCTCAGATACACTCAGACACTTGCACAGAGCGCACTCACACTCGCACTGGTGTGACTGGCTCTCTGGTGTTATGACAGGACAGGGGTAGAGGGTGTTCAGGTTGTGGTAACGTTCCTTCACGCCTCTCTATGTTATTATTGAGCCCGGCGACTCCACGCCACGCTGTGCCCACTCCGTGGTCCCGCACCTCCTCTGAACTCCCACTCGGGAGCTGGCCGCACCGGTGTCCCGGCACCGCCGCCGGTATGAAGGACAGGGCCGCGGTTCCGGCGTGCGTGCGCGCACGTCTCCGGCGTTATTCTGGGTTTTTATCGACTTCAGATCCGCCCCAAAGATGTCGTGCCTGTTGCAAAAACTGTTTATCTTGTATTTTGACTTTTCTGTTCCGCGTCTCACAAGAACTCTACTCCCCAGCTCTCATAGCTTTGCTACCCTCACAGCCACGGGTTTAAACTTTTAAGCAGCAGCACAATTAAGAAGAAGCAATTAACTGTTAATTGTGGCAAGGGAGAATAATTAAACCAGCAAGTGACCAACTCAAACATACATTTTAGTAAGGCAGCGACTAATTATTTTGGGTACGTTCTGTAATAGCTTAGGACCGAGCAATACAAAACAAAAACATTTCAAAACAATGAACTTCACGGATCACAAATTCCCTTTCCTCGATCCAATTCAATTCAATTCCTTCAATCCTAAACTTGATGAGATTATCGCGAGAACGCCGTCTACCCGCTTTGACCTTAAAGGGGTGCCGCAACTCTCGCGGTACTTGGTCACACGGAGGAAGATGTCTGAAGGAGAGCTGGGCAGGAAGTGGGACCGCTGCCTCGCGGACAGCGCTGTCAAACTCGGTAACTATAGAAACGGAATTTCTTTCATTAAGCACCGGAGCGGCAGTGAGCTAGCGGAACCGGGCCTGGGTTATGTTTTGCGGGTTAAGGCAGGGGGCAGGGAAAGGAGAGTTGCCCGAGACCTGCGCCAGGCGGCCTGGGTAGGTTCTCCGGGAGGACGAGGGAGGTCACGGTGGATCGGGCCACGATTGTGTGAGCTGAGAAACCAGACCGAAGCCATCCGACCCGAACATATTCCACTCGGAGCCGGACAGAAGCAGGGCAGGGGGGACGGCGTGTTTTTTTTAGGGGGTGCTTAAAAAAGCTGAGCAATGGTCATCTTGGGGAAGAAGAGTCAGCTGCCCTTGGCGGCGTGAGATTATCCCGGGTCTGGGGAATTAACAATACTGAGACACTGTAGAAATGTATAGGGAGAGAAAGACATGTAGAGCGCATTTGTGTTTTCCCGAACTGACTACTGTAATGCCCTACTCGCTGGGGTATCTAAAACTACTTCTACTCTGAACAAACTGCAGTATGTCCACAATTCGGCAGCCAGAATCCTGACCAGGTCTAGTGCAAGTGATGACATTACTCCTATCCTGGAGTCCTTGCACTGGCTTCCTGTCAAATTCCATGTGGACTTTAAAATCCTCATGCTCACCTATAAGGCTCTGCATG